AATGGTGTGCAATTACCAGTTAAAGACTTGATAATTATGGCAAGAATTAGTCTGCATTTTCAATGGCAGCAAAACCCATCCGTTCTTTGCAGTTATTATCTGGATTGCAAGAAGAAATGGGTTCAGCTCTGTCTCAGGCTGACACAAAGCTCCAGGTACAAGGGGAATTGAGAAGTGGATGATGAGCCCATGGAGTTGGAAATTTCCTTAACTGCAAACTTCAATGGCAGATGTGAGAGAAAAAATAATATTCAGCAAGGAGGGGTGTGGAGAAATTTAAACTCAGAAGAGGACTGGGAAGCATATATTTTTATGAGGTTTGCCAAAATCAGCCCAAATATGGGCTTTTCAAATACTCAAATGCTCAATCTTGAAAGGCAGAGTCAATGAGAGAATAACAACCCTGAATACTTAAAGAATTAGCACGTTGTTCTTCCATTCCCCCATGGCATTACGTAGTCAAAAGGAAGAGGTTTTGTAACTATTTCTTTTTAAAAAGTGTGATCTGCAAAATCTGTAAAAATCTCAATAAATTAGACTAAACTTGATGACCTTTATTCCTTGAGGTAGGTTGAATTTATATTTCTTCCTTATTGAAATAATCTGAAAGCACAACACTTAAATTCTTCCTCTTATTCTTAATTCTGTCATTCTGGGACTCCAGGAGCTGGGAAGTCCAGAAAAGTTGGATCCAGGTAAAGGCAAGGAGATGCTGCTGCCCTGGGAGAGTGAAACCTTGGCAGGAGAGTGACTGAGCCCAGCAGAGGAAAACAACACGCTCAGAAAAATGACAAAAACCTGGCAGCTAAAAGGCCTTAGGACAGGAAATAATTTGCAGTCTTGGAGTCATAAAACATGCACTAAGAATGTGAAGAGTTTTTGGGTTTTCAGTAAATATTTTCCAATAAACCAATCAGTAAGTTTTAAGTTCTCAACAACTAATAGTTGTGGGAAATAAAACAAAGAAAATACTTCCAGGAGACAATTTCCTCCTCAACTCATCCTGATGAGGTAACAATGAAAATGAGTGGCTTTAGCAGCGTCCATGGTGTTCCCCCACCCCTCAGTATTCCAGAGCTATTCCCATTCAATTTGTCACTGCCACTTCCACATCCCGCTGCTGACACTCCTCTCTGCAGCAACTCTTTTTCCTCAAGAATTTTTTATAAATTAGGTGAATTACTGTGTCAAATGATCTGATTTCACTGCATTTTATGTAAATTTATTTACTTAGTGGCCTCTGGGCTCCACGCTGAGCTTGGAAAATGTACTTTTCAAAATGATAAATAATTAACCAGAGCTCCTGCACCACTGGAAGTTGTTACTCTGCTCTCATTTTAAATAGTCCAGGAATATGTTTTTTAATGCATGTTTCATATAAATTGCCACTTAGAGGAAAATAAATGCTCGGAACATTGACTGCCTTTAGTCATAAAGGCTTACACATAGCAAGGTGATTTTTATTAGAAACTGCATTAATGCTTTTCATTATTTAATAAATAATCATACAAAGAACTCATTTCAAAATAGCAGCAGGCTTATGTTTCCAGCTCCCTACAGAGATGCACAGGAGGGAGCAGTGCCAGCAATTCCCAGGTTAAATCCCACCCCAGGACCAGGCTCAGGCAGGTCCCACAGCAGTAACACACTGGGGAGGGCCTGAACTCCTGCCAGATCTTCTCTTCATCACCCTGAAGAGCAAATGGGAATTTATTTGGACAAACTCTTGTGTTCTTAAAAAAAAAAAACAAACGAATTTTTTTTTTGAAGTACCAAAAAGGCTGGAAGCTCAGATACCTCCATCCATGCTAAATTCAAAATCCCAGGTGCAGCTGTCAATGAAATACAACTGCCCAAAGAGATGAGGGAGGTTACAGGTGATTAGAAAAATGCATGGGGAAGAAGCAGTCTGAACACAGCACAGACACAAAACAGGCTGGAACTTTTCCAAGCCCAGGAACGGAGGAGTTGAGGGAATAACACAGATAATTCCTGGTAAGAGTCAGGAGGGGGAAGAAAACAACCAAGCTTGTGCAGGAGAGGCAGCCTGGCTGTTTTGGGGACAAACAAACTTAAAACATTCCAGAAGAAAGACAGCAGAGCAGCCACATCATCCAGCCAGGGGAAAAATGGGAAAAACCAGCCCTGGGTCAGCAAACCACACTGGGAGGGATCATAGCCCCCCAGATCTCCTCAGCACGGTCTTCTGACATTTGTGGGGGGCACAGATTTTAGGCAGCAGCAACTGCTACTCCAACACCTGCATTTTTTAATTGGCGCCCAATGTGGGGCCTGACCTTGAGGCTTTATTGAGCCTTTTGAAAGTGTCTCCATTGGATCTTCTCTGAATTTTAAGTCACAGTCACTGTTCCAGTTCCCTGAGAGAAAAAAAAACAAACAAACAATTTTCTGGGGGATTTCTCTGGGGGTGGCTAACAACCCTCAAAGCTTCAAGGGCCAGCCTCATCAGCAAAACCTCCTCTGAGAGTTTTTTTCTGACACACCGAGGTGGTGAGTATAGCCTGGTGGCTGTCACCTTTTTGTATATTTATTTTTCACAGACATCCTTTTCCAGGTAAAGCAGCACCAAACCCTTGTTCCCACTGCTGTTATTCTCACCTGCTCCGTCTTTCCATAGGGTTCCAGCAGCTCCAGCTCCATCCCAGGAAAGCTGTGGGAGCCACAGCCTCTGCTCCTGTTCCCACACAAGGAGCTGCAACACCAATGCAGTTTCCCCATTCCAAAGCTGGGAAAAGTCACTTCTCAGCCACAAAGGTAATTCCATCCCAAACTGGAAGGAAAAGCTGATTTGCCACCAGGATAATTAGCAAAGAGGTTCTTCCTGTACCTCACTTCCTGCAAGAGGAGCAATTAGGAATGACCCAGTTCTGCTCCTGTGCCAGCCACAGGTGCCCCTTGCTCTCACTCCTCCTCACATCCCTGTTTCTCACCCCCATCCCAGGTGAAGCACATCCACCAAAACCATCAATTTTTAGAGTTTTAAGTCAATAAAACTACTGCAAACAAGTTTTGGGACTCCCAAACAAAACTAGGTGGTAAAAGCAAAAAAAAAACAAACAACCCACCCAAACTCAGGGTACTGCTGCCTATTTTCTGGTTTGAGATATTCCTGCCCCAATGTTCCAAACAAATGATGAAGAACATGCTGCAACCCCAGGCTGGGAGGGATATGAAGCATAAAAATACAAACTCTACAGAAAAAGTAAAACCTGAAATGCAAAGAATGGTGTTTTTTGTACAGAAATGCCCATTTCTACATCCAGGGCATGGGGTGGAGCATCTCTCCTGGGTGGGTTTAGCCACATCATGTGGGCTTCAAGCATGGTGAAAACAACACCCAGGTCTTGTTAAATGAGGCTTGGAAATGTGCAGAGCTCAGACATTTCAGCAGAGTGAAACGCTGGTGTTTCCCTGGGGGACTCCTCTGTGCTCCCAGCTGATGAACAGATGCTGAAGTGGAAAAATGATGACATTTCCTTGTGAGACTGAGGAACAGAGTGAAATGTTTGAGCATTAGAAGGAATGCTCTGCCCCCAAACTAGGTCTAATAATGACAACTTTGTCCCAGGAGCAAAACATCAAATCTTTTCAAAATGATACATAATTAACCAGAGCTCCTGCACCCATGGGAGTTGTTACTTCACTCTCATTTTAAATAGCAAAGGCATATTTTTAAAATGCATGTTTCGTATAAATTGAATTTTATCCCATATTTTATCCTTAAACTTCTGTGACATCTGCTCCCACACACCTGCTGGTGGCAGCAGCACCTTTATTCGCACTCCAGTGAAGCACATGATTGTAGGACTTTCTCCTCGCCATTATGCTACTGGGAAAAGTGTAAATCTCATTATTCCAGGATATGAATTATAATAAAACTTTCTTGGGATGCCCTTGATGCCTCCCTGAAAGGTGAATGCCTGTTAGCACAGGCCTACATTCCCACTGAGGTTATTCAGTACTTGCAGGTGAAGAATGCATTAAAAAAGTCCTGAAGCCTTCCTGCTGAAGTGAAGCAGCTAAAAACATGTAAAAAAAAAAAAAAAAGGATAATTTATTTCACTGAAATACAGTGAAATACACTCAGAATAGCACAGAATATTTCAATGAAATACACTCAGAAGAGCACAGAAGCCACATCAGCATTGAGGGTGATGCTAAGTATCAACCAGATCTTTCACATTCCTGCTAAATACATTAAAAATGGATTTTTCAGCAATATCAGCTGCCACAGGTTTGTCTGCTATCTTTTATTGGGTCCTCAGTTTGGATTCCAGGAATCAGGAGGGTGAATTTATGTTCACCTGCAGAACCTTCCCATGGGCAGACAGAGTAGAATTAATCCTAGAACAGAGCACTGGTGATGGGGAGAAGGAAGGGAGTAATGAAAGAACCAAGGTATTTTCCTTGGAAAACAAAGCCCATTTGCTAAATTCCTATAAAATGAATCCATATAGATTTCAGACTTAAAGCACAAGTGTAGTTTTCCCTAAAAAGAACCAACCAAAAAAAGGTATTATTGGGTTTGTGTGAGCCTGGATATTGATAAATTACCAATATTCTGGTGATCTTTAGTGAAGAGGAGTAGAAACTCTGAGTGCTGGGAGATTTTGTGCTGCTAGCAGGGTGAGTAAAGCCTGTGAGAGATGCTAACAATATACAGGGTGATAGTTTGGCCCAGGAGAGGATCTCGTGGAATCAATGAGGAATTAAATTCAGGCTGTTTGCAGGTCAGGTCCATCCTGCTTTGGTGTCATATCTACAGGGCTGATGATCCATGGTGTCCAAAAATCCCTGTGAAAGCCAAGGGCAGCTAAACCTTGGTGTGAAACAAAAAAACCAAAAACCCACATCACAACCTAGAGAGGGCTGTGAGCCACAGTTAAATCAGATTCCCAGCAAATAAACAGTGTCAAGTAAGAAAAGAATCAAACAAAACCCCCAAATCAAACAAAAGAAACTTGCTGATTGCAGCCAAGGCTTTTGAAGATTACATCAAGTCAAACTTTTATTAGCAAAGTTGTATTTCATGTAAAATGAAAATATCTTTTCAAACCGTACGTGCACATCTGCGTGGTACAAACAGCAACTACAGTACAACACATTTCTCTAAACTTTAATCAATGCACACTAACATTTAGCTCCCAAAAAAAGTAACATTGTGATGGTGACACCACATTTGCTTTGATCTTTTTCTCATGAAATTACAAAGTCTCTTGTTTAAAGTCAGAACCATAATAATAAAAAAAATGAACAGACAGAATGCTTTGGCTCAAACCCCCCGAGGGGCTCCTGCCTGAAAACAGAACAAATCAGTGCAGATCGCTTGAGATTTGACAGGAGAGATCCAGAGCTGCAATGTAAACATGTCCTGCTACTCCAGCGTGGTTTGTACCTTTATTTTTTGTCATAAACACTGACAGAGATGCAGCTGAGGGTGTGATCCATTGGCAAACAAAGGGAATTCTGCATGAAGAATTCCCTTTCTGTCTATCTGTTCTTACAGGTAAGCAAAATAACCTAAATACACTTCTCATCTGCAAAATCATGGCTGTGAAAAACGATGCTGAGGTTTCCTCTCGAAAGCTCAAGGAGTAGTGAATTTTATTCTAACTTTTCTTTAAAAAACGTGGAATCACTGCTTAAAAATCCCACCTTTTTTTTTTTTTTTTAAATATATATATATAGAAAGATTGTGCTACTATTTGTTTTCATGTCAAAAATAATATTGGCCTGAAAACTTTGATGAAAACCTCTCGTGCACTGGATTGAAGCCATTTAGCCAATGGAAGCAGTTCCCAGGAAAAGAGCTACTCACTGGAATTTGTGTAACATCAACACAGCAGAACAAATATCAATCATTAAATGATTTGCTAATCAGATCCATCTAAGATGTGACTTACAACAAATGTTTTTAAAGTTTTTTATACATGAACACACAATTTTATCCAGAGGGGAGAAGTAAATTTTCTGATTTGATTCCTAATTCTGCTCTTCCTAAAAATCCAGCCCCAGCAGGGCTTTGATGCCCAGTGCTGTACTTTTATCATGCTGGAGTGCAGAGCCATGAGGGTTTCTGGAGATTGGATCCCCTAATTTTGATAGAGAGGGAAGCTGGGGCTGTTCCTGCAAATTCTTGATAATGCTATTAAATTTTTATATAGCTGTATGTATATATATATATATGCATGTGTTTGTGTGTGTGTGTGTGTGTGTGTGTGTGTGTATGTGTGTATATATATATATAAATAAGAGAAAAATTATCAGTATTATTCTGCTCTGGGAATCCAAACAGCTTCCTTGGAAGAAAGGAGAGAGGGGTTTTCTTCCCATTATTTAAGAAGAGTTGATTTTATTTGTTTAATGTTATGCACGATCAAAACTGCACAACTGTTTCAGCAAGAGCCCTCTCTCTCTTCTTCCAGAGGCTTCTTAAATCCCCCAACCTGGATCTGTGGGGCCAGGGAAATGCCTCCTCCCTGATGGGTGGAATTACATCCTGGCTTGCCTTGGATATCAAGTCTGAAAGTGCCATTTCCCCTCTCACACTTCTTCTGAGGCAAAATGTGTCAGAACCAAAGGGACCCAACCACAGCCTGGGATGGGATAATTCCTAATTCCCTGTTCTGCTCCCATGGCTGGACTCCCTCCTCCCAGCAGGCAGGCTGGAATTCCCTGCTAGGTGTTAATTAATGGAATCCCCACGGATTTCCAGGAGCTGATTTTAATAAACACTCCTGGCCAGAGAAAGAAAAAAAAAAAAAAAATCCAAAAAGTCCCAAACAAACCAATGCAAAGATTTAATGTTCAATGCACTATTTCAGAATAGGGTGTGATTTTTGGAGCTGTCCTGTGCAGGGTCAGAAGCTGGATTGTGATGACCCTGTGGATCCCTTCCAACTCAGGAAGATCTGTAACTGCAGAGCAGTTGGTGACTCTTTTTCTGAGCTACATGGTCACATTTCCTCTCACCCAGCACAGATCAAGACAAAAACACAGCCCAGCTCCCTGCAATGACAAAAAACTCCCCAGGAAAACCTCAGCTTGCTCTGTTAATTTAATTTTGAAAACAAAAATCTCTAAAAAACCATCACTAACCTGCACTTTCCAGGGTACCTTCACAGCAGAAAAAAATCACAGTGCAGGAGAAAAAGGAAAATAAGTGACTGGGGAAGAGGAAAAAGCTCAGGTGAGTGAGATTTCCTGGGAGTTTAAGCCTCTTGTTAAATATTCACTGGGCATCTTCCTCAAAACCCGTGTTCAAAAATCCAGGTTCCATTGCACATCTTTTCCTCCCTGTTTGATTTTTAGGTCCTGAGGCATCGTGGAACACCAACACAAAGATTTAAGGCTGTGAATTAAAATCTGAGTGGACAAAAGCAGCACATCACAAACACCTCTTAGCAGCGAAAGAGCAGGAGCTGCACGGGGGATTTATATCCATTATTGGATCATTTGACACTCACTAATACGGTCTGAAATTGAACAAAGGAATTGAATATTGTTTAACAGAGGCATTTTCTGGGATGAGGGGTCTGGTTTATCTGCAGTGCTCCACAGGAAAACGTGATGGGTGTGTTCAGGCACAGCCCCTCCAGCCCAAAGTGAGGATTTAGGGGAGCCCACCCCCATTTTATTCCCTAATTTTCAAAGAGCTTTGATCCCTGCAGATGATTCCCAAAGGAAACACATTAAAAGCAGCCCAAAGCAAGCAGTAAGTTGTCACAAGCCTAATCAGTTCTTAGATTTTATCTGGCTTGGGCTGCAGCAGACACGAGTCAGCAGATAAAGATGCTGCTGGGAAATGTCTCTGTTGATGAGATGCCAATTTTCACATTTCTCTAATTCTAATTCTCTAACTCCCTTCTTTGGAAAATTACTTTTTTTTCCCCAAAAAATACCTAAAAGACTTTTGGACCTTTTCAGTGTTTCGATTGAGTGAAGTACAGAAAATAGGACTTTGTAAGTAATAAAAAGTGAATAATGTGGGTCACTGCTATGGGATGGGATAATTTTTGATTGAGGGCAGATTTCCACTCACTGTTTTATATTCATAGTCTGAATGGGGCTTTTGGGGTGGCTGTTTGGGGTTTGCTTTTCCTAAATAGAGGTTACATAAAAAGCCCTTAAAAGCTCTAATTAAAACCCCAAAAAGAGGCACAGATAAGCAGAAGCTTGAGCACCAAAGGCTTCCAGAAACTGCCAAGCTCTGAGGAGCAGCCCCAGCCTGGGGGAGCTGTGTGGGATCCACAGCCCTTCCACTGGGAAAAATCTGCATTTCCCTGGGCTTAACTGTAGCCCTTGCTGGAAACTCAGAACCACGTGAGTAATTCTTGCTTCCTCTCTTTATTCCACTGAAATCATGGGGGAGCCATTTGGGGATATTTGCCTAATTGCTATCAGGATGCCAAACAGCTTTTAGGATCTATTCCTCCCCTGCAGGAACTACTGAAAAACTTTTATAGTGGGAGTGTCAGAAGAAACGAAGCCATGTTGATGCTCTACTCAAACAAGCAGATTCAAAAATACAAATGCTGTTAAAAAGAGATTCAGGAGATTCCAATACAAAAAGACCAAAAAAATGTGCTGTACAGCTCGGCTGAGTTAGTGTTGGAGAGGCAAAGAACCAGATTGAAACCAGCATTCAGTCAACAAAATAGGAAAACAAACTCTACTATAATATTTTCTCTTTGCTTTTGCTTTTTGTTTATTTAACAGTGATTAGGTTGAAAAGAAATGAACTCTTGAAATTCAGGTAGGTCTAGTTTAGATGCTGCTTGAAAGGTGAGAGGTTTGGATGATTCCTATACACACAACTCCTCCTCAAAACTAATTTTGCTGGTCCAAATCCATATTGAGAAGCAAATCTACTCATTCCTACACAGCTATACAGACCCATGCTAGCAACATGTCTCAGTTCAAAATAAAACCAGGCTGCTCTGGACTTGTGTCAATATTAATATCATATGTACAACGCCTCCATGAAATGTTGGCTAGCTCACAAATATACAGATATGAGACAGACACCAAAGAGTTTGCTTAGAAATGCAGCTTGCAGCTGGGAAAAATTAAAAATCTTTCGAGTGATGGTGGATGGGAACCCTGTTTTGCCTTGCCACAGGAAAGAGCTGCAGCTTAACTTATTTAAGGAAATAGTGCCAGCTACTGGGCAGCAGCTTCACCCACACTCTCCTGTGGGTAAAGCTGCATTTCTAAATATTGGTAATGGAAGTCAGCTGTAACCACTAAAACATTTTTTTTTTAATATCATACACAAAGGGGTTTAATTCTTTAGGAAAAAAAATTATACAATATATAGAATATATTTCTCTGGTATTTTAAATTGTAATATTCCTTGTTATGTCGCTTTGCAGAGTAACCTGGTTTTGTTGGTGACGTTATAACCAAGGCCATGAGGGAATTTTACACACACACCTGTGACAACACCCATACAGGGCAAAAATACTACACAGAGAAACATATTCCAAGCCTAAGAAACACCTGGAGCAGCAGGCAAGGACACAGATGTACCACCAGAGCAAACTCTGGTTTGCTCAGACTAACACATCGTGTAGAAAAGAAAGAATTACTCCATTTTATTGAGAAGAAAACACATAGAAATTAGGATGGAAAAAAATCATCTTTTAGTGGCAGTGACTCGTTTTTTTATTACCTGGATATCAGGATTCTCCTGACTGGCTCAAGTGGCACCCTGCTCCCCAGCACAAGAGTAACTGTGGAGCTAGCCAGGATGAACACCACAATTAAACACAATCGTTTTAGGCGTGCAGAGGAAAAGTCGCCGTAGAACTCCCAGTGCTTTCCACTGATCCTTTCTCCTTAGATCCAGAATAAGCTCCAATAAATGAACCATCTTCATTGAACATGCCATGCTCCCCTTCTCCATAATCTACCAGACTATCAGCACTTCCAGTGGCTTTAATGTCCCCGTTAAGTGACTGGAGGCTGCCTTTCAGCGGCTTTTCATCGCTGTCACTACAAAATAAAGAGATGCCTTTCCAAAAATCTGCCTTGCACTGGCAAGGAGGGACACTGCTCTCGCCTTGGGAATGGGGGAGTGAGGGACCCATGGGTGGTAGA